TATTTATTCCATACCTTCAAGTTTTTTTTTTACCAATATTTTATTAGGATTTTTAGAAATTTTAACAAAAGCAAAATAGAATAGTTTGAATAGAACTAAATTGATGAAAAAAAGAGCATACTCTTAATAGTGAAATGCTAAAGTTTTTTTTATATAATAAATAGATTGTATTTGACATCTTAATCTAATTATATTTTTTCAATTTTAAAACTTCAGATATCTTCCATTTAGATGTTTAAGACATTTTTTGTTTAAATTTCATAATTTCTTATTGTTTAATCAATTGAGAAACCCTTTGTAGTTGTTGTAATTGCTAATTCCTTGAAATCTTATTATGATGTAAATAGCATGTAAAAATAAATGATGTTCATTGATCCATGGCAATTGCGATCAAGAGTTATTAGTTATTTTAAGCAGTTACATTTATTTATTTCAGCATGAACCTTTTTATTAGGATAACACTTAAAATAAACAATGATATTCAAGGTTTGAATAGTATCGGCAACCAAAATTTAATCTGTTCCTTCAGTAATATATATTTTATTTGCTTCAACAAGATTCATTTACTTAGATATTTTTTCATTAATTTTTCTATCCAAGTATTTGCTTATTCTAACAGTTTCACATTCAATTGGTTTAAATTCATAACTTAAAATATATTTCATCTAAAATGTAGAAACAGTATTTGGCGGATATACACTACTTGACCCTAAAAATATATACATATTTGATATAATTACATGTTTATAAGGTATATTAAGCAGTTGTACCTGTAGTGGTTATAAGGAATTTTAATCTGTATAATGAGGTATTACTAAATTGTATTTTTGAATAAGCTACAATAAAGTAACTATTGGTTTCTAAATTAAAGTTTTAGCTTGTATAGGTAGAAGTTGTTGATTTTGTTTGTTTCAAAAAGATTTAAAACTTCAGCAGTTCCCAATATAATTTAATATCCAATATGCAGTAAGTTAGAGTTTGCATTTTATATTCCAACCTTTATGGTCTAAGAAGTTAAAGATGAAATCTATGGTTTATTAAAAATACTATTACTGAAATTTCAAAGTCAAATGCACCACTATAACTAAAACTTAAAATTGATAATTTTGCTACTCTAAAGTTTGGATTCGCGATTGGAAAAGTTGTTTCTGCTAAAGGGTTTAAATTAGTCCTTGTTATTACATCGATTCGTTAATCATCAATTGCAAACCAATTTACTCTGACTGCCTATACTAATTTGGTAAGGCATGTGAATTTTATTGTAAAATCAAAAAAAAAAATAAAATCTAAAATTATTCATTTGATACATTACATCATGTCGTAATTTGAGGAATTTCTAACAAAAAATTAAGCTATTAGGAAGCAGAAATGCTTGCAAACTCTAATGAACCTGGAACTACAATGACTTTTGGTTTATTAACAAAGGAATTAGAAAAATTTATTTATTCACTCTTAACATCTCCATTTTAACAGTTCAAACTCCAGTTAAACCAATTGTTTTGGTCATGTGTAATAGTCGCAAATGCATATGATGTCAAAAGCAATATGATAATCATATTTTATTTATTTTTTAAAATCTTTGAATTATTAAATCCTCAATTAAGAACCCTTATAATTCACTTTTGGATTTAGAGATGTAATTATTTTAAAGAAAAATATTTATCTATGCTTTTAAAACTGATAAATTTAGAAATTAAATTATAACAATTCTTTTCAAATTGAAAAAGAAAATTCCTAATGTCTATACTTATTGAATAAAAGTATATTAAGTGAAAAAAGTATGAGGCAAAAATTAAAATATTGAAAATTTTATATCAGAGCTTAAAAAAATAATTTTTGATATTTAACGAACTTTAATTTAATATAATTATATATTAAGATTAATTTTAATGATATTTAAAGTGATTAATATACAGAAAAAAATTTTATTTATGAATTAAATAATCTATCTAATTCACTAATAAAAGTTTTATATAATTATTTATAAATGTAAAATGATTCTTAAATAAGATGAATAAATTTAAATTTCTTTTAAAAAGCAGCACAGTAATTCTGTGTAAATATCTATGAATTTTATCAGTTCGTATTTTTTCGTTTCAAGAAATTTGTTAATTTCTAATGATTTTTCTATAATTAATAACTCTTAATTCCAAAATAATAAAACTTGATATATATGTATAAATAAATTAATCATTTAGCTTTTTATTTATATAAAAATTCTAATTGCACTAAATACTTTATTCTAACTTAGTCAACATTATAAACAATGTATTCATTATAAATTAAATCACTCTTAATTTATTGATCTTCAAGTTTTCCAAGTGGTATCTTCATATTTGAAAATTATATATTTTCAGTTGGAGCCATTTTACCTATTCCTTTAGTACTTTAACAACCTTTCTCTAAATTACTAGCATCATAATCTGCTTTAGTTCTTTCTTAGCAATTCCCTAAAGCAACATCACATAATAATATTAATCCAATAGGATTTGAAGGAGATGTACAACAATAATTAGCTGATTTAGAAACAGAATCAGCAAAATAAACACCTTTTCCAAACATATATCCAGAACATGGTGCTTCAGGAGGTGCAATTCTTAATCCTTAACTTATTATACCAACAAAATTTGTTAATCTTGAACCATGCCATAATAACATCCTATTACCCACATTCTTAAATTTTTGCTTTTCTCCTATTCTCTTGATTTTAAATATTTATTGAATTTTTAGATGGTAATTAGAATGAGTACTTCCATGAGTATTCTCTAAATATTTTTAAATAACTTAATAATCATCAGTTGTTGGATTAATTAATGAAATATTTGAGTTTAATTTTTAATATTAATTGTCAAATATATTTCCATCATTATTTTATATTAAATTTGTTGCTATTTCTATTGCTTCTAAAGATGCTAACATTTCTAATTTTTCCTTAATATCTTAATTAGTATCTAACGATTTTAATTTTGAGAATCCATTATTATGAGGAATATAAGAATAAAATTCAGACGATAAGTGTTCTAATAAACATTTTTTTTTGGCTTTTATTAAGGTCGACTCATTAATAACTTCTGCAATCTATTTTAATATAGTGTATCCATTTTTGATGGTTTGACTGCCTAATTTTCCCAATGGCATTCTAGAAGAATCATAACCAATCCTGAAAATAATCAAATTTTATATACTCCATCATTTGTTAATCCATCATCTTAAGATCATATATTAATTTAAGTAAATCTTTAATTTCAGTTTATAATTTTGATTTTTCATAGTGAGTAGCTTCATTAGAAAACTCATTCTTTTAAGCAACAAGGAATTTTTCTAAAATTTTATAATCTCCTGCAATAGTCTTATCATAAATTTTCTATTCGTATTCACTTAAACAAGATTAAAGTGAATATTCTTTTGCAGCATGTTAACCCTTTTAACCTACTCTACCCCATCTTGTAAAAAAATAATATTTATCTAAAATAATATTAATGATTTACAAGGTTATTTATCACTTTCTAAAATTTAAGCTATGTAAAATTTGTTATTATTATTACCATAAGCTATATTTGATTAATTTAATAAAGAATCATAAATTTTATTATCTTTTTCATAAACATGATAATCAGCTTTGTATATAAAACATTCATCTACAGCTACTCTACCTTTAATTATTTCCTTTTTAAATTCTATCTAACTACAACTATTTTCATCTTAATGTATATTTTGAACTTATAATTTTGCTTGTTCTTTTTGTTTCTCAAATTCTTCATCTATTTATTTTCTCTTTTTCTCCTCTTTTTCATTAATAGATTTCTAAGTCTTTCTTGTTCTTTTCTATGGTTCATCTTCTATGTCATGGCAATGTTTTTTTTTCATGAAAAATTTAAAATTAATTAAACAATATTATTTTATTGAATAACCGAAAATATTTCAATGCTAACTCTCTTTAGTTAAATTTTTCAAAATTGGCATACTAAAATTTAGATCCAAATAAATGATAAAATTATTTACAGACATTTTTATTTATAAAATGATTTTAGGCTCCTTTTTATTTAATTAAATTGAATGAGAATAGCTTTCTTAATTTTCAATACTTCTAATCCCCTGTATTATTTGATAAATTTCCTCCAGGTAATTTTGGTGAAATCATATAGCATTGAGATCAAAATGACCTGAATCTGAAAGATTTTTTATTATTAAAGTATTTTCAAAGAATAAAAATAGAGCTGATACGACTTCCATAAGGATTTTTAATTGAAAATAAATAGCTGATACTAATTTCTTCTTAATTTCTTTAAGGCTATTAACATTATGAACTTGTAAAGAGTTTTATTTTTAAATATTGCCTAAAATTATGTAATATTTTACATTTGAAGAAAAGAAAGTGTTATTTCAAATAAATTTGATTATTGACTTTCTTCAAAAATTCTTTGTAAAAATAATAATTTACCTTTATAAATTGTTTTTTTGAAGAGTTGATTACAATTTAAATTTAATTAACATAAAAAAAAAATATTAATTGGGAACCCAAAAATTATTTTCTTTAGATTATAAATAAATTTTTATATTGTCAAATAGATAGTAGGGTATTTTTTGAATTAACGCTTAGCTTTATTGTTGGTAAAACAACCCTAAAGATTTAGAATTGAATTATGTCATATTTGTTGAAAGAAATAATTAAAGTATTTTAGTTTTGGGATATACATTATAATAAGAGAAGGAAAAATTCGAAAATGTCTAAAGATATCGATTTTTATGTATTAATGTATGACCCCTTATACACTAAATGATTTGATTAAGTATAAGAATGGATGAATAACTTTTAGAGTTCTTAGCCACAAGAAAATTAATCAAATTATCCAATTATTTTAGTAAAACTATCAAATAAATAATATATGCAATCATAGTCTAATTTAGGAAAAATATGGCATAAATTGAAATACCTAGATTATCGATTTTAATGTAACTTCTGAAACAAGAGGTTTAAAAGTGGCCACCAATTGATAATCTAAAACAAATTGTCTACATATTTAAAATTTAATTATAAAAATATGCTTGCATCTGCAAATAAAAATAGAGTCTCAGAAAGATTAAATATGACAAACCTTAAACATTAGAAAACAAAAACAATTGATATTAATTTTTTAGATTTAAAGAAATTAACCCTGAATCCTTGAATGATATCATGAATCTTATATTCAATATTATTATTCCTAATAATTCTGAAATCAAAAAAAATAGGCAATATAATTATAATAAATGTATAAATTTCACTTATATATTTAATATAATTTTTCTTTTAAATTATTAAATTCTTTTAAGAAAAGTAATTTGAAAAGTTCTTATATAAGATAAATAAAAAAATATGAGAAATATCTATACCATTCTTTTATCATTCTTCTTTGTGAAATATTTGCTTTTATTTAAGAGTTTAATATAATTGGTTGATAAACTATCAATGAATGAGGAATATTTTATGTTATCGAATATATATCATACTTTATATCCCATATAACATACAATTATCTAATTTATCAAGCCTAAAAAGAGTTTGCAACTTTTTATAAATCCTAGGAATTTTTGAATAAATTATTAATTAGTGGTTTAGAGTAATTAAAGATATTTACATCAATATATATAAATATAAATGATTCAAAATTTTGTTGCTTAAGATGCATGTTGCCTTGAAATGGATCCTGAGATATATATTCATAATATTAAAGAAATTAGATCTTTATTAGGAGACAAAGTCAAGATTTGTGCAATAATTAAATCGGATGCATATGGACATGGAATTAAGGAGATGATAGATTCAATTGTAAGATCAGGAGTAGAATATATCAGTGCTGTTGATAATTGTGAGTTTAGAATCATAATTAAATGGTTTAGAGAGAATAATATAAATCATATTAGATTGTTTAGAACTGCACCAGCTACGAAAGAAGAACTAATTGAGTCTTTAATTAATAATTGGGATGTAGAGGAAGTAGTAGGATCATTAGATTAAGCATAATATTACTCAAAGATTATTAATGATATATCAGACAGTCTGGGAAAGGATATCATAGTCAAAGTACATATTAATGTTGAGACTGCTATGGGAAGAATGGGTTTTCGAAAAATAAGTGATATATAATTCACTTAAAAAATTAAGAATTTAAATGTGATAGGAATTATGACTCACTTAGCTGGAGAATATTAAGTTCCACCACAAGATGAAGTTGCTACTAGAACTTAAATGGAAATGTTTTAAGAAGTTCTATCACAATTAAAACTAGATTAAAATGTCATTAAACATGTTGCTAATTCAGGAGCTTCAGCTACTAAAAAATATACTCACTTTGATATGGTTAGAGTTGGATAAATCGCTTTTGGTGAAGACAATAATCAATATTTAGATCCAAAAGGAGTAATTAAACCAATTTTTTTAAAATGGAAAACTATAGTTGCCATAATAATCAGAGATATTCCCCCCAATAGTCCTATTGGTTATAATGGAATTCAAAAAACTAGGTCAGATAAATCATCGATTACAGCCACTATTCGAGTTGGTTATGATTATGGATTCCCCTAATATGGATGTTTAAATAAACATTTAGTTTTGATAAGAGGAAAAAGATTTCCTATTATTGGGAAAACTTCTATGAATATGCTTGTTGTTGATATCACAGATTAAGATTAGGATAATCAAGTTTAATTAGGAGATGAAGTTGTTATTATTGGTAAATAAGGAACTGAATATATAAGTTGGGAAGAGTTTTCTCAAAAATAACAAAAGAAAACTCTCGTATAATGCTTAGAAATTGCTAATCAATGTCCAAAAATTATAGTAAAATCAAAATGAATTGACAAACAAAATATTAATGTAACCAAATAATATATTTTGTTATTATAATTATTTGAGAAATATTTTCTCTTTCATTTTCTTCTTTCAATAAAAAAATTTTATTAAGTTAGTTGATATAATATTTATATAGATATAAAAAAATTAAAATTATTGGTTTGCATTAAGGAATTTTTAAATACAGTTTTTTTTCAATTTATTTTAATTCAAATATTATAGTGAAGAAAAAGAATTAATTCATTCATTATTCTACCTTTTAATAGTGTTCAACCATTGTCTATTATCTCAATATTTGAAACAATTGTATTTTTAAGACTCTTTTTATTAATCATATAGATAATACAGTAGATAGGCCTCAATAGAAAGTTTTCATTGAATTCGTATTATTTTACTATTTCAACCATCGATATATATTTTTAAATTATTTTTAAGGAAGTAAACTAAGGATAATTTAATATTTATCATAATTATACTCTACCAAAGCAAGACAGGTTTTTATTATAAGGATTGTTAAAATTTTAAGGATAGAAACAAGTTAAAATAAATAGAAAATACTTGTGAACGCATTTTAAAAATTCTAGTATTTTTTGAAGTCTTGCATCAAAAAAAGAATTAATTTTTGAATTCTAATTAGAACAATGTATAAATAAAATTTTTATCATTACATATTATATAGCTTATGAATTTGGCATAAGATATTTTCTAGATGTTATTGAAATCTGAAAACTGGTTGATCTTGAACAATTCTAAGATGGAAATATCATCCATTTAAATAGTGTTATCAAAACATGAATCGCAAAAAACCAAGATGTATATAGATTTGGAGAAAAGTTGTTTGTAGAACAATAGTATGGTGAGGATATAAAAATTACAAGATAATTCTAAATGCAATTGATATTTGTTTAGCTTGTAAATTTATTAAAAAAATTAAAGTTATCATTTTTAATACTAATTTCAAACTGAGTTATTTTTTCCTTCATCATGTCTTTAATCATTTAGCCAATTTCCATCATAGTAAAATCCATTAGATGATCTAAAAATACCCTTACCATGTTTTTGACCCTTAAACCAATCTCCTTCATATTAATCTCCATTAAAATATATCATTTAACCCTTTCCAGTTCTTTGATTATTTAGCCAAGTTCCTTTGTATTAGTCTCCATTAAAGTATTTGTATTCACCTTATCCATGCTTTTGATTATTAACCCAATCTCCATTATATTAATCCCCATTAGCATACTTCATTTAGCCTTTTCCAGTCCTATGATTATTGAACCAATCTCCATTATATTCACCTCCATCTGACCATTTGTATAGACCTTATCCATGCTTTTAATTATTAACCCATTCACCATCGTATGAATCTCCATTACCTAAATTGCATTTATTCTTTCCATTCATCTAATCATTTTCCCAATCACCAAAACATTCTATTCCATCAGCATTTTTAAAGAAACCCTTTCCAGTTCTTTTATTATTTACCCAACCTCCATTGTATTCATCTCCATCTGACCATTTGTATCTACCTTATCCATGCTTTTAATTATTAACCCAATCTCCATCATAAGAATCTCCATTTGTTTATATGCAAATATTCTTTCCATTCATCTAATCATCTAACCAATCCCCATAACATTCCAATTTATTAGCCTTTTTAAATGTACTCTTTCCTGTTCTTTTATTATTAACCCAACCTCCATTATATTCATCTCCATTAGACCATTTATATCGTCCTTATCCATGTTTTTAATTATTAACCCAATCTCCATCATATGAATCTCCATTCGCATATTTACAAAAGTTTTTACCATTCATCATATCATTTGCCCAATCACCATAACTTTCAAAATTTTATGCTTTTTTAAATGTTCCTTTTCCACTTTTATTATTATTTTCCCAATATCCATCATATTCATCTCCATTATTCCAATTATATCTACCATATCCATGTCTTTGACCATTTAAATACTCTCCAGAATATATATCACCATTTTCATACTACTTTTTATTGTAAACATTTGACTGGCCCATATTTTCAAATTTTTATTATTGATTTATTAATTCTTTTTATAAAACCAAAATTTTTTTTTCATTATGTCATTTAAATAAATAATAAAGAATAATAAATGATTTTAACTAAATAAAAGCATATTTAAGGTCCAAGTTTAATGAAAGGAAAAATACTGCATATAAAAATGATTAATTTGAGGCTAATTATCTAATATATTGTCTGCTTCTATACTTATTTTAGTAAGAAATTTATGATTTAGATATTTTGCCTTTTTCAAGATTTTCTTCTTGTGCTATCATATCAAAAGTTAATCAAAATTTCTTTTCACAACCAAGAAATAAGGTTTACCAAAGAAAAAAACTGTAAGGTTATTCTATGCTATTATCTATAAACTATTCTAAATTAAGATTACACAATATTTTTACATTAGCAGTCAAAATATAAATTTATTAGTGAATAAAAATATTAGATGTTCCTTTTTTCATTAAATGCTATGAAGTGGATATGTTAAGCATTATAAAATCTACATAAACCCAATATTTTCGAAATAAGACTTTTCACATTATCTAATTAAAACCTTATCGTAATATCATTAGGAATAAACAAAAAAAGTAATTGTTAAACAGAAGCAAAATTAAAAGAGTTAAATCATTTTTTTTAAATTAACATTCAAATTTCTCAAATGCTTATTTCAAACTTTCTGTAATATTATTTTGATCTTGTAAAAAAAGACAAAATAGTTTACTTTTTATTTATTTATTTTCTGAGGAATTGATTAGAAAACGAATCATATTTGATATTTTTCAAAACTGAATCAATAATTTATAATTTCATATAAATAATTTATTTTTTCAAAAATCATAATTAATCTCTTTTCTAAATTATTAGTGATAATATTTACACAAATTAATTTTCGTAAAAATCCATCTCCTTCCATTTACCAACTTTTTTACCATTTTAATATTCTCCAATATAAATTATTGATTATTCATCACAAGCTCTTCCAAAATTTTTACACAACTCACTCCACCTTCCAATTTTAATGGAACCTACAACACCATCAACTTTTTGCTTGTCATCATATAATCCTCCTCCACTATTTTTATTTTTTTGAACATCCAATAGAAAATAAAATATATATCTTTCTATTCTTACATCTATTATATCACTCCATTTTAATTCAAATTTATGTCCCATTTACCAACCTTTTTGCCTTTTTGATACTCACCCTGAAAAGTAACTTAACTATTGCTAATAGTTTTTAAACCATTTAGGTACTTATAAAAGTCATCACTCAATTCAATCCATATTCCGGTCTTAATTGATCTTGCAAAAATATTAAAATCTTGATTTTGTTCATATGATCCTCCACCACTAATTAATGATCATTATTGTTACATTAATTATTTTTATCCAAAAACAATATCCCACCTACCAATTTTTTTCCCATTTTAATATTCACCAATTAAAGTGACTTACCTATTACTAGTTTAATTAAAATATTAAATACCAATTAAACTGATCTAACAACTCAACCCACTTTCCATTCTTAATCGAAACAACTACTCCATTAAAACCTTATATATTATAATATGATCCTCCCCCTCTATTTAGAATTTTTCAAAAATTTTAATTTAAAATTTATATATGAATCTTACATTGATTTATTTTAATAAAAAATGTCCCATCTACCAATTTTTTTTCCATTTTTATATTCGCCTTCATGTGTTACTTTGTTCATACTTAAATTAATTGACAAACATATACTCATAAAACCTATCAGTCAACTCAATCCATTTTCCTTTTTTCAAATTTTACAATTCCTCGTCATAATATCCACCACCACTTATTTCTAATAATATATATAGTTACATTCGCTCAAATCGGCTATTCTCTCTCTCCCTCCAATTAAAATTCCATATACCAACTTTATTACCAATTTTATATTCACCACTAAAGGTTACTTAACTCATACTAATTATTTAAACTAAAAAAATTACTTATAAAAACCATCAATTTGCTCAATTAGCTCAACCCAATTTCCATGTTTTTAATTTTTTAATTCCTCACTATATTCTCCACCACCACTATACAATATAGAATATAAATAATATTATAAATTAACATCTTTTGAAATTTTTAATTTGTAAAACTTCTGAAATAAATTTCCCATCTTAATATTTTTTATCCATTTTTATATTAACCATGATAAGTTACTTAATTTGAACTAGAATTTCATAAATAAAAATACTAACAAAATCCATCACCCAAATCAATCCAATTTCCAATTTTCTGCGATCCATCAACATATTATCCCCCACCTCTAAATTATATGAGTTCATTAATAAATTAATAAAAGTACATTAATTCAAACTTTTCATTATCATAAGGGTCCCTCAAGTAAATATCCCATCTATCCATTTTTTATCCAGAATGATATTCACCCTTCATAATGATTTAGGTTTAACTAAATAATAAAAACAAATACTCATTAAACCTATCGCTTAATTCAATCCACTTCCCTTTTTTATAAGATTGTTCATCATCATATGATCCACCACCACTATTTTGAAGAATTATTAATAAAATTTGGAAATTACAGTTTTTCTCCAAAATAAAAAGTATCCCAAATACCTATCTTTTTATCCTTTTTATATTAACCACTAAAAGTTATTTAGCATTAACTAAAAATTAAAAAAAAAATAAATACTCATTAAACCTATCACTTAATTCAATCCATTTTCCTTTTTTATAAGATTGCTCTACGTCATAGAATCCTCCTCCACTACATCAATAGTTTTACATAATCATTAAAATATAAAAATTACATTTGTTATTTAAAATGGTAAATATCCCATTATCCAATCTTTTTACCATTTTTATACTCACCTATAAAAGTGACTTAGTATTGACTAAATAATATTAATCATTATTAAATACTTCTTCAATACGTTAATCAGTTCAATCCATTTTCCATTTTTAATATTTTCTTGATCATATTCTCCACCAGCACTAGTTTGAAGATTTATTGTAAAATTTAAAATTACATTTATTCTGTAAAATAATAAATATCCCATCTACCAATCTTTTTATCTTTTTTATACTCACCTCTAAAAGTGACTTAACATTCTCTATAGAATAACAAAATACTAAATACTCATTAAATACATCCCACAATTCTATCCAATTTCCATCTTTTAAATTTTGTTCTGAATCATATTCTCCCCCAGCACTAGTTTGAAGATATATTAATAAGATTTTAAAAATTACATTTATTCTCCAAAATAATATACATCCCATCTACCAATTTTTTGATCATTTTTATACTCTCCCCTAAAAGTAACTTAATTTTGCCTTAAAATTAAAAAATAAAAATAGAATACTCATTAAATTTATCACATAGTTCAATCCATTATCCATTTTTTTAATTTCGCTCTTAATCATATTATCCACCTCCACTAATTAAAATAAATAATAATCTTAGAATACATCTTTTCTCCGTGATAACAAATGTCCCATCTACCAATTTTTTTCCCATTCTTATATTCACCAAAAAAAGTTATATTACTAAACAAGTATATTTATAAGAAAATACTGAATGAAATCATCGCTTAATTCAACCCACTTTCCATTTTTTGAATTTTATTCTCCATCATACTATCCGCCAAAACTATTGATTTTTATACAAAATTTTTATTTTACATCAGTTCGAAAGGCTAATTGACATTTTTCTTCCAATAGTATCTCCATCTACCAATTCTATTACCTTTTTAATATTCACCTTTAAACATAACTTCACACTAATCTCTAAAAAATTTATGGATTTAAATACATTTTTTTAAATTCAATCCAAATTCCACTTTTCTTTTCTAATAAATCTTTTGAAAGAAATTATTATTAATATAGCTCTAGCTTTCTAAAACTATCTCCATCATCTTAATCATTTCTAATAAATGATTAAAATTTTCATAATTTACTCAATCCATTTTCCCATTTGATAATAATTTGTAAAAGGGTAATAAACAAAAACTGAATTAGATTTTCCATTTTTCTGCATTTTTTAAGGTATTTTTTGTAGTTTCCTCCCAAAAATAATACCATTTCTATTTTTAAGATCAACAAATAAATTATATGATCCAACTCCAGGAACAGTTGAAAAAGTTTACTTATTTTTCTTATCTTTTCCAAACCTCATCTTAAAAATTAAAATACCTCATTCCCTTATTATTCTCTTAATTGAAATTAGATGGAAAAACATATTTACCTGGAGATGGAGTTATGAGATTCTTTAAAACATAAAATTTTTCTTCTTTTCCAAATCTTGATTTAAAATATCCTAAGTACTTATAACTTGGGGTGGAGTGTTTTGAATAACTCAAAATATTATATGCTTGAGGACCAGGAATTTTAAAATAGTCCATTTAATCATCAAACTCTAAATACATTTCAATTAAATTTAAGAAACGAATACATAAAATTTAGTTAAGTAAGAAATTCTTTAAGTTCTGAATCATTAAACAATAAATGAATGAAAAAGAAAATTAGATCTAATTTTTTTCTCTTATTGTATTTTTCTTGAAAATAACGGTTGCAAATATTTAGGTAATAGACTTTTCATCTGATTAGAATTGTAAATTTAGTTTTTCTTCAAAATTATGTAAAATTAATTAAAGAAATAGAATGAACAGTTACAACATTTTTAAGTACATAAATGAACTTAGTAACTTCTAAGAAAATATAGATAATGCAGCCTTTTTAGAATTAATATCATACAATAATTTAATAATATGTAGAAAATTATTATATATTTTTAGAGATGTATTTATATAAAATTTGACTGTAAACATAAAACAAATATTCTGATCATAATTTTCCATAAAGGTTATCTATTTCGTTATGATTAAATCCTTTTGTTTCCTTTACTGAAAAGTAAAAGTATATCAATGCTAAAAATGTTAATATTCCAAAAAGGATAAAAGATCCACTCATTTTAATTCCATCTAACATAAATGGAAATATGTAGAGCATAAGAAGTTGCCATGCATACAATGTAACAAAACAAAAATAAGTTCCTTCACTTGTATTTATTTCTGGTGTCATAGACTATTAATAAATGATATATCATTACAAAAGTAATGGGACCTAAAGTTAGAGCAAATGTGAATGCAAAGAAGCAGATAATAATAAAACTAATTATAGTTGCTTCATAAGAATCAGAGTAACTTAAACCAATAATTAGTATCTAGAAGATTATAAGGAAAAAAAGTCCATAAAGTAATAAAGGTCTGTTTCCTAATCTTCGATAAATAAATTTTGAAATAAATGCAGGAATCAATTAAACTACTCCAAGGATAATTGAAAATATTGCATTTAAAGTTAAGTCCCCATCTGACATAATATTAAATATTTATGAACTGTAAGAGTATAAAGCAAATAAACCACACCAAGTTGAAATAAATGCTAATAAACAACCAATTAATAAAGTTTATATATGTTTTTTGTTAAACAAATTCATCATTCCTTCTTATTGTACTTAATTTTCTTATGATCTTAATTAACATTTTTAGAAAACTTAATCGATAAATTAAGGTTAATATATTTTTTTTATAATTTCCTTTGCTTTTTATTTCATTTAAATTTGAATTAAACTATCAGGACTGTCCACTTTATAAATAACAGTCAGGATTAATTATCTAAATAAATGTAATAAAGCTGGAATTGCAAAAATAATTTACCAATAATATGAGTCTTCTCCTCTTAAGTCAGGATTTAAATACCCTAAACTCAAAAAATTAATAAAAAATAATCCTCCAGCAATTAAGAAACTTGCTAAAACTGAGAATGTTTCATAGTATTAATCGGGACATAGCTCTTTAACATAGACAGCCATAATAATTGTTGAAATACCTAAACATAAACCATAACAAAATCTAAATGTTAAAATAACTTCTCTATTTGGTATCACTTATAAAATGCTTATAATTCCAAAGAGATCAGCAATCAATAGAGATTAATTTCTTGTTGTATATTTTAATAATGGTTTTGTAAGTAATGCTCCTACTACTTATCCTATCGATAATACTGCACTAAAAAGACCTTATTCTTCAATCTCAGATCCTTTAAGAGTACTTAATAATATAGTATAAATACATTTATGAAAATAATGTAGAGAATGAAATTGTTAAATATGATAAAGAATATCCAATTGAAAAATTCCCACTTTAAATTGCTACCAGAATTATTGTTAAATGGACAAGGGAATTAATTTCTTCCTTAACTTCTTTTTCAGATTAATCAGGGGGTTTCGACTTTAATTTTGAAGAAGGCTAAGTCAAAAGCATAGAAGGTTCCTGTGCAACTATTAAAATTTTATTTACAACTATTTTACCATTAGATGGGCTTAAATTTTCACTTTCGTGTAGCTATTATGGAAGAACTTAGCTTGTCATCTTTTTTAAATTATATTTGAAATATTTAAAAATAATTGACAAAATAAAATGTAAATATATCATTTCTATTTTGGACTACTCTTTAGAATCAGACTAATTCTTTTTTGATTATTTATTGATTTTCTAAAGATGCCAATAAGCATTGAATAGAAAATTCTTTGTTCTAAATAATTAAATATCTTTAAAATATATTTATCAATAAAAAATTAACTTCTCTTATTGATTATTGAAAGCGATAAATTAATAAATTTTATTTGATTTAGGTTGCTGAACAATATTTTTTATCAAATAAGTTTATACTATGTGGCTTAGGATAGGTTATTTGATAACAATTATATTTTAAACGATAAAAAGGAGGGAAAAAATTTAATTATTTAGTTGAGATTAAAATTTTATATGTGAATTTATTTAAAAATGCTTTTGAGCTTATTTTATTTATAAATTTGAGAATTCTCTATTAATTTGAGAGATCCAATTCATTATAATAAAAAGGGAATATAAATAAAAATAACTCTCAATAACACTCCTTATTAATTATTTATTATTTGAACATTCAATTATTATTTGGAATCCACTCTTTTATCTTGTATTTGAGCTTTAATTTATTTTATGAAATTGAAAAATGTTAATATATTCTTAATTTTGAAAATTTTTATCATCTGAGTTTGGAAAATAATCATATATATAGAATATATTGAGATGGTTTTAATACGTTGACTTGGTATTAAAAAAATAAAAATGATGATTCAGAAAAAAAAATAAATATTAGATTTTCTGCAGGTAGTCGCAATATTGATCAATAAACCTAAATTACATTTAAATAAATAGTAAACTTTTATTTTGTTTCAAATTTGATTTACTAATAATAAATATAAACATAAGAGAGAAAAGCATCAGAATAATATAAATAATTATTTAAAGAAATTTTCCATTATTTTAACAAGAAAAAAATTTTTTAGGATTTTTTAGCCAAAAAAAACTTCTAAAATTACACTTTAGGTGTAATACCATATCACGATTTTCATCTTTTTCTATCAAGTTTTTCGATTAATAAAAACCCTAAATTTTTTTACCTTTTGTATACATCTTCTAATTGATTAATATGCTTCTTGAATTATATTTAGAAAATGCAATAAAGGATAGAGAAATATGTTTATAAATTAGTTAATTTAAAGGTTCAAATATTCAGATTTAATTCAATTTTTAGTATTATTGTATTTTTAAATATTTTTGATTTTAAGTATATACGATAGATTTAATTAATCTTAATTTAACTCTTTATTTCAAGACCTGAAATCTAAATAATACCTAGAACTTAAAATTAAAATCCTCATCTTTTTGAATTACATTTATATAATTAATTATATTAAAAGTTTATATTCCAAACTACTTAGTAAAAAATAATTTGTAATTATATTCTACTTCATTGAAATTTTCTTAATTAAAGATATCTTGTATTATGTTTATCATGAATCTAGAAAATTATGAGTTAAAAATCCAAAAACACTTATTCAAAAGTAAATTGTTTAAAAATATTTTTTTTTGTAAATACTTTATATTTTTCTAAAAATGCTCTTGAAATAATATTCTAACTTTGATAATATGTTGTTTATAAATGTATTTTAAAAATCATCTTAAACTAAAGATAATAGTTTCGTGAAAAATAAAAATAAATTCTATATACAAATCTACAAGCGACTTATAATATTAAGTCTCTTAAAATAAATAAAAGTTAATTAATTACTAATGAGTTCATCAAAATATATAAGTTGTTTTACGTTCATGATATCATAAATTGTTTAAATAAAAAATCATTGTTATTAATGCCATTGGATGTTTTTCGAATATTCCTTATACTACTAAACTTTTTATGTAATCAATTATCAACTTAAATAGTGACTTAGAGCTGTGGATAAGGCTAAGTTTTATTTGAAGGTTCATGCCTAGATTGTGCATCAAATTGTTAAAGTTGTTCATATCCTTTAATCTGTGACACATGTAACCCAGGATATCGTGTGACTGAAGTATTTTTATAATGTAGTGCTTGCTCAAATGGATGTTAAGTTTGTAATCTCTTAGGTTGTTAAACTTGTTTTCCAAAGTTCTATAAATGGTTAGGTAATTGTTAACCTTGCCAAAGTTAATGTGCTACTTGCACATCCTCCTCTGTATGTTAAACATGTGTTGATCATTATGTACTAATTGGTAGTAGTTGCTCAGTTTGTCATAGTACTTGTAAAACATGTTTAGGTACTAGTAATACTTGTACATCTTGTGATGTTGGCAAATATTTATCAAATTCATAATGTCTTTCTTGTTCTTATCCATGTTCAGAATGTATTAATGCCTCAAATGATTGTACTTAATGCGTTGAAAGTTATTAAAAAGCAGTTAATTTTTAATGTGTTTGTAATGATGGATATTATACTGATGGATCAAACCAATGTTAAATTTGCAATTCTCCATGCTCTGAATGTGAAGATAATGCTGATAAGTGTATTGGATGCATATCTACTTTTACATTAAGTTAATCTATACAAAATAAATGTGTTTGCTCATCTGGATATTATTAAGTTAATCCTACAACATGTTAACAATGTATAGCCCCTTGTTTAACTTGTGAATAGAATTAAAATCACTGCCTTAGTTGTGTTGATGTAAATTAAGAATTAAATGAATTAAATCTTTGTGTTTGTAAAACAGGATGGATTATTAATACTAATGGTATCACTTGCATTTAATGTTAATTGCCATGTTTAGATTGTATATAGACAATAAATAAATGTACTTCCTGTTAAGATTAATAATATTAATCACCTGATTCCTGTTTATGTTAATCTGGATGGATTTATGATAATAATTACTTTTGTATTCCATGCTTATAACCTTGTTAAACTTGTTAAATATCTACATCCTAATGCTTAACATGTTTGGATGATAATCATATAATAAATAACTTATCATAGTGTGTTTGTAAACCTACTTATTATTCTGATAGTTTAATAACTTGTGCAAAATGTAATTAACCATGTTATGAATGTGATTCAAATGGATGTATCAATTGTTTAGATATAAATTCTATTCTTGATTCTGATCATAATTGTGTATGTAAATCTGGATATGTTAATTATGGAATTTAATGTCTTTAATGTTAGAAACCTTGTTCTTCATGTATTAACACAGTTGATAAATGTTTAACATGTTTTGATATAAACCAAACTATCAAGAATTTTTAATGTATATGTAATGAAGGGTTTTTAATGAAAGGATAAATTTGTTGTGATTAATATTGTAATGATTGTCAAGCAATTGATAATTGTGGTCAATGCATGAAGGGATATTTTGTTTCCTCTAATAATAGATGTTTATAATGTATTGATAATTGTGATTTTTGCTATAATTAAACAAATTGTCAATTATGCTAATTTGGATATTTTCTTAATTAATAGACATAATGTGAATCATGTATATCCAATTGTAAAATTTGTAATAATTCTTCTAATTGTGATTTATGTTTTGATGGATTTTATATATTGGATTATAAATGTGAAAAATGTAATTAAAATTGTTAAACTTGTAATGAATAAGCCTCAAATTGCATTACTTGTAGATCTAATCAAGTAATTAATAGTAACAACTAATGTGTCTGTATTGTTGGATATTTTGAATAGTTTAATGTATGTCTTCAATGTGATTATCCTTGTAAAGCCTGTTCAAGTTTTACTATATGTGAAGAATGCCTTATGCTATCGAATTTATACTTAGATGAAAATTTTTAATGTAAATGCTCTAGAGGTTATTTTTGGAATCAAACGAACTGTTTGTAATGCTATAAAAAATGCTTGACTTGTTTTGATAATTAATTTAATTGTCTTAGTTGTGATTAAAATCAACATAGAATATTAATAAATAATAAATGTTAATGTGACTAAAATTATTTTGAAAGTGAAGATGGTTATTGCATTTCATGTTTTGATACTTTAGGAAAGTCTCAAAAGAATTGCAAATACTCAAATTGTTATGATTCAATATGGACATATGGAGAAGAATGTGATGATGGTAATTTTGTAAATAGAGATGGCTGCTCTAATTGTAAAATAGATCTCAACTACTCTTGTAATAATATAATACTAAAACCATCAAAATGTTTTCAATGCTCATCAAATTGTATAAAATGTGAATTAAATCCTTTAACAAACAAATCATCATGTATTAAATGTTAAATTGGTTATTTCCTAGATAAAAACGATTGCGTAGAGTGTTCTATAAATTGTTTTGAATGTATTGATTAAGCTTACAATTGTATAAGTTGTAAGTTTCCATAATAGAAGAATCTTAAATGTTAAATTTGTTAATCTGACTCAGGATACTATTCAGATGATATAAAAGGAATTTGTTTGAATAATTGTGGAGACTCTATAAAAGTAAAAGAGGAAGAATGTGATGATGGAAATCTTATTAAAGGTGATGGATGTGATGATTAATGCAATTTAGAAGAATAGTATATCTTTGTTAATGGTTAAAGTATCATTCCAACTTATCCAAAACCTACATTAAAGAGTATCGGAGACACTTAAATATATTCTGTTATTAGATTATTTAAATTGTCTTATGATACTCCTATTATCATTAATGATAATTTTTAAATTAAAGATTATCTTTCTATTAATATCTCAAACTAAAATATTATTAAACTCATTGATTAACCCTTTGAATTAAGCTAAGAAATTACATAAATTAATGAATTTAATCTTTCAAAATTAAATTTAATCATAAATATCACTTTTTAGAGAGACTCATAAGATGAAATTCTATTGATAAAATTCTTAAATAGCTCAGTAATTTATTCAAATGATGGATACTCACAAATAGAAAAAGAAGTTTCTTGCTCTATACCGAAAGTGATATATATTGATGATGGTACCATTACTCAAGTAAAGATTACTTCTGAAAGTAATACTTACATGCTCTACTTTATTTGTGTCATGTGTGGAGGATCAATATTATTTGGTGGATTTGAAGTTTTTTTCAATTTATTGGATACTCTTTAGATGCTATCATATTTGAAATACATCAACACTCCTATGCCTTATAATTTATAAATATATTTTGAGCTGTTTAGATTCGCTTAATTTAACTTCATTTAAAAGATTTTTGATTTCTCAGGATTTATTGAATCAATTCTTGACATAAACCATTTAAAAAGAATACCCACTAAAATAGCTGCTGATAATTTAACTTCACTATTCATAATTAATGCCTCTACAATTATTACTGTCTGGATTTCTCTTTTTGCTATTTATTCAATTGCAAGAATTGTACCTAAAATTTTATAATCCATTAAATGTAAATTTTATTCTGATAATGAAAGTTAAAATTAATGGCTAATCTAATTTGGAGTATATTATTTAACTATTAAATATTTCATTAATAAGTTGTGTTTTATTATTGTCTCTGAATTCTTTTTTAGTGGAATTTTACGTGTTCATATGACAACAGCATATGACTTTTCTTTTAGTATAATTCTTTAATTATATGCTTTGCAACCTTACTCATCAAATATTTTTATTAATCTTAGTTCTATATTAGCTTGTATGGCAACTATAATCTATATCTCGAGCATTTATTTTGTAATTATGATATCGTAAATGAAAAAATACTCCCTTAATAGTAAACAAATATAAACTAAGTATGGATCAGTTTTTGAAGGCATAATAATAAATTAATTTTCCAAATACTTTAACGCTTTGCTTCTAATTAAAAAGCTTATTTTTATGGTGTTGTTAATCTTTTCTTACGAATTTCCAACTTTACAAGCATGTAGCATTACTTTTCTATCAATCTCTACGACCCTATTTTAAATATTATTTTGTCCATTAAAAGATAAAATAGAATATTTTAAATAGTTATTATGTGAAGTTAGTGTTACTTTAACGCTTCTAGGTCTTACAATTCTCACTTATGATTTTGAATTAGAGTATTTCCAGTATAAAACTCGATAATATATTGGTTGGGGTTGTATATTTTTTATGACCTCTATTTTATTTATTTAATTAGTAATTGACAGTTTTTAATAATGGAAATTTCTTTATTATAAATACAAGCAAATAAGAAAAATAGCCCAATCAATATTTAGAATATTTAAAAAAAAAAATCAAGTTACTGCTCCATCAAACATTTTCTAATGATTTAATGCTAATTAAATACATATAGATAGATACTTATTTTAAGATTTTTTTATTAAAATTCATTTATATCTTAAACATAATTTTTGGGTGGGTGAGTTTAGGTTCTTCTTCAAAATTTTTCTAAATCAGATGAATTTTTGTTATAACTATATTATATTATTGATGATCCTTCAAGAAAATGCAAACCATTAATTAGATTGTTTTACTAAATGCTTTTAATATATTTAATTATAATATAATAGACAATAACAATTTAAAAGTTATAAATCGAGTTAATGTTATACAATGATAGAAAGTGATTGAATATCAATAGTTTATTTGTATATATCTTAAAAAAATAATAATATTTTTAGTAGATAAAGTTTTTAGCAAAATTTATAATATTACTGATTATTATTGTTACTCTTAATTAAAATCATAAATTCATAGAAATTATAATATTAATTGTAATATGAAAACTTTTACATCTAATTTTCACTTTATTTAATATTTATTTAAATTATTTATAAAATATTCTTGAACTAATTTTAGATCTATTATTTTAATTTGAGATTAATTTATTTCTCCAATCTCAAAAATAGTTAAAATATATATGAACATACATCTTTCGATTTTTTTAATTAGTACTATGATCAATTAAGCATTAATTGTTATTTTTCAATTTCATGATTATTTGATTTTTATCTTTGATATCGAGTGTAAATATGTCTTGAGGAGAAAGTTTAAAAAAGTTTGGGTAATATTTAAGTAAAAAAATTAATTTTATGTTACTGAGTGTCAAAATAATTTTTGTGTTTTCGTTGTTTTATTTATTTTTTTGAATAAATGTTTATAAATAAGTTTTATTTATGGAATTCTGTTTTGCAATTATGATCCTCCAAATTTCTTTCATAACGAAAACTCATGTATCTTTAGGAAATAAGTAGTTTATAAAGTTATCAAATCGTTTTAAATTAAAAGATGAGTAAATGATAGAGATAATTTTATTTTTTAAATTTTTTGTTATTTATCAATCTTCTGTATATATATATTTTCAATATTAGATAATAAATTAAAAATAGCTAATTTAATGAAAATGATTATTTGTGTTTAATTTTTAAACATAAAGCTCTTAATATTTAATTTATTAAGTGAGAAGAATTAAGTTTATTTGGAACTCTAATTTGTTATTTTCAAATTCAACAAATTCGCAAATTTTTTAAAGTCTTTTAATTAAAATTTTTGTTTTTTTGCTATTATTTTATTTTTTTCTATTA